ACCTCCTTAAAGAAAAAAATCATACATATAAATCTATAATACAAACCTACCCTTTTCCCCCCTCCCCCCCCGGACTTCCCAAAGCTAATCTAGGAAATAAACAAAAAAATATCCAAATCTATCATAACTACTCCATATTACTACACACTAGTATAAACTTGCTCTGACTCTAAAATAAAGTGAAAGGGAAGTTTTGATCAATCAGTCCAACCCTTCTGCCTTAGAAAAGTTTATTGATGTGGAACACTAGTTATATGCCACTATTTTTTTGACCCTGTTCTTATGCCTTTATGAGCAGCTTGGCAAAAACATCAAATAGATTTTCTTATCAGCCAATCAAGGTTTTCAGAGTTTTGCCTCCTTAATTCCTCTGCATGGAGATATTGACTTAGGCATATGAAGGAGGCCTCTGTTAAAACATATAAAAAAACATAGATAGCACCTTTGAACTCCAAGTTGCATGACAATAAATGAGCAAATCCTACTGCAGTTTCACTGCCATTTCCTGATGTTGAGGTGGACCCATTTTGCCACCTGCTACAACTCTATGCCAGGATTGTTACATCTTTAGCTATTGCAGGGGTGTCAAACTCAATTTCATTGAGGGCTGCATCAGCATTGTAGTTGTCCTGGGGGGGGGCTGGGTAGATGTGGCCAGGGTGGGCACGGCCTACTGGGTGGGCGTGGCTGGAGTGGGTGTGGCCTACTGGGTGGGCATGGCCAGCTCTACATCATTCGCGTCAAGGGTGCCTGTGGGGGCCTGGGCAGGAGTGGGACAGATCTGAGGGTCTCTGGCAGAAGGGGGTGGGACCGGGGCAAGCACCAAGGCATGGTCCACTGGAAGAGCCTGCTGAAACCCCTCCCCCGGAGCCCATCAAGCCAGATATGTGAAGTAGGCGAGGGCCATTTGCTGGCCACTTCCAGGCGATGGTGCATTTCTTCATTCCTCACAAAGAATGACATCTCCCCAGTGCGCACCCAGGGGGCGGGGCCAATGCGGCAGGGGCCGGTCCCTTGCTGTTTCCAGATGGCCTTGCGGAGCTAAAACTGAATGCGTTTTAGCATAGATGGCCACCACAAAATTGTACATTGGCTCCCGGGCGGCCAGGACCGGGGGCAAGGCAGCGGGGGCCATTCCCTCACTGTTTCCAGGATGGCTTCGCGGGCCACATGAAAACCACGTTGCGGGCCGCATCTGGCCCCCGGGCCTTGTGTTTGACATGTCTGAGCTATTGCATGAGAAGTAGTAGATCAACTCGTGAAATAATTCCCATCCTTGCCGCTGAATAAGAAGGCAGACTTCATCAGTTGAATTCCTGGTTCTCAAACCTCTTTCAAGTACGCAGAAGCCTGCCAAGAAGGGAATAACCATATAACTGCTTCTTTCTTGGTAGAAAATAGCCACGCTCTGAGGTATTGGATAGATATTTTGGAATAGCATTAAGTCATCCCCTCGGCAGCATGTCACCAATGGTGCTCCTTTCAGCTTTATAAAAACACAAATTGCAAAGCAGGCCAGTACATAAAGACTGGATGGCTCTTTTTTTTTTTGGCTGCATTTAGCAACGTCTGCTGGGCTGTTTTGTTCCAAGTTCTTTAAGAAGACTCCCTTCTGCTATTTGCATCTTGGGAGATATTGGCTGGAGTTTTGTTTGTACATAATCAGAGTTCATGTGCAGATTGTAAGCACTTGGGAGGGAATAGCAGTCAAGAAGCCGTCAGTAAGCACAAAATGTTCCCCTGGCATCTCCTAGAAACCCCAAACACATTGTAGCACAAGCCTTTCTGTTGTTTTCTCTTGACTTGTTAACTTTTACTGACCATTTTCTTTCTCCAAATTCTTCCCTAGGGTAGCCTCGATTTTGAACGAGTGGAAAATTAAATTCTTCAATGTAAATAATTGTGAAAAGTATTCTACTGTAACTTATGCTGAACGCCGTTCTTATACAGCAGTGATGGCGAACCTTTTAGAGACCGAGTGCCCAAATTGCAACCCAAAACCCACTTATGCATCGTCAGGTGCCGAGTGGGTGTGGCCCATTGGCTGGGCGTGGCTGCGGTAGTAACGGCAGACTGGGTGGGGCTAAAAAGTTCAATCAATCAATTCCAACTTTGCAAGATTTTTTTTTCCCGCGAGAAGTTGAAATTGACTGATTGATTGAACCTTTTTTTTTTTTTGCACACAGTGGTGGAGGCCTCAAGCGAAAAGGTTTTATAAAACCCAGCTGAAGGCCTAGGACTAGGGCGACAGTGCGCATGCCCACAGAGAGGGCTCTGAGTGCCGCCTCTGGCACCCGTGCCATAGGTTCGCCACCACTGTTATAAAGATATTCCTTGACTTACAAGAATTCGTTCAAAGTTACAATGGTAGCAAAAAAAGCGACTTCTAGCTTACGCCCATCATAGCATCTCCATGGTCATGTGAACAAAACTCATGCACTTGGCAACTGACATGTATTTATGACAACTGCTGTATCCTGGAGTTATGGAATTGCCAATTTGCAACCTTTCCAGCAGCTTCTGATAAGCAAAGACAATGGGGGAAGGTGAATTCGTTTAACGGCCTCAGGATTTATTTAACAACTGCAGTGATTCACTTAACAACCATGGCATAAAAGGTTGCAAAATCTGGTGCGACTCATTTAACGGTGCTTAGCAATGGAAATCCTGGTCCCAATTGTGGTTGTAAATCAAGGACTGCCAGTAATAATTAAAAGAAAAGGATGAATAGTTTGTATTTTTTCCACAGCATCTTAACCATAGGACAGTGGTGGCGCGCACACCATGTGGGCACGCGCACCATGCCCTGGAAATGGCAACCATCCCTCTTCAATCAGCTGCCCGCTAACTCGCCAAGGTCCCACATGGCCGGATGCATCCCAGCATGGCTGGTTTCCCTCCCCCCTGTCCCATCCCTCCTGGTCTCGCATGCTCTCCTTTTTCCAGGCACGATCCACTGCATCTATGCTCCTCTGTACTGCTGGTGGAGGGCTGCGGAGCCCCAGAGTGCGCCGGTTGAGGAGCCGGCAGGCTGTGGCTGCTGGACACCGTTGGCCCCCATGCGCTTGCTGGCCTCTGTGTGCGGGGGCCGATGGTGTCAGGCAGCAGTGGCCCCGGCCCCTGCCTCGCCTTGTCCCGTGGCAATGGTACCCCCGCCCTGCCTTGCCTCACCCCGCAGGACGAGCCTCCTGCCCACCGCCCCACCTACCAGAGACCCCCTGGATCTCCCCAGCCCTGCCCCCATAGGCATCCCTCCCCACGAGCAACATTGAGGTGACCACGCCCACCTTGGCCACGCCCACCGTCTGCCATGACCACCACAGCCACACCCACCGAGTGGGCCACACACACCCGGCCATAAATAAGTGGGTTTTGGGTTGCAGTTTGGGCACTCGGTCTCTAAAAGGTTCGCCATCACTGCCATAGCAAGACCTTTCTGTATGCCAAATATATATTGGCTAAAAAAATCTCATTGATGAGTTTTTTGGTTTGCAGAAAGCTTTGATGAATTGCATCATCTCTCTGAATGTGAGTCAGGTCACTTGGATGTTTCACGGAGGTGAGGTGGCTGCTTCTATCTGCACACACAGAGAAGCCTTCCCTTACAGCTGGAAGTGGATGGAACTATTTCTGATATAAACATTATCTCTTAAGATTTGGAAATGTTGTTTCTACTCGTGCAGTTAAAAACAGCTTTTGCTTGCTTTAGAGCCAGATGACATGTTGATTCATAGTTTGTCATCAGCTACAGTTTCAAGGTTTTTTTTTTCCACATGTAAAATAGTTATGCCAGAAATCCTGCATCTTATACCTGTCCAACTGATTTGTTTCCTTGTTGGAAAATTTGGCATTTATCTCCATTAAATATAATTTTCAACTCATTTCTCCAGAACACTTTGAAGTACAGGTAGTCCTCGACTTACAACAATTCATTTAGTGACTGTTCGAAGTTACAACAGCACTGAAAAAAGTGACTTATGACTATTTTGCACACTTACGACTGTTGCAGCATCCCATGGTCATGTGATCAAAATTCAGATATCTGGCAACTAATTCATATTTATGACGGTTGCCGTGTTCCAGGGTCATGTGACCTTCTGATAAACAAAGTCAATGGGGAAGTCAGATTCACTTAACAATCATGTTACTAACAACTGCAGTGATTCACTTAATAACTGTCGTAAGAAAGGTTGCAAAATGGGGCAAAATTCACTTAACAAATGTCTCACTTAGCAACTTAAATTTTGTCGTAAGTCCAGGATTACCTGTATCTCTTCCATGCCACTAGTGATCCCACCCAGTTTTGTGTCATGTGGAAATTCAGTTTGCATTCCCTTATCCAAGTCATTAACAGAAGCTTAGGAGTAGAGGCCCAGCATAGATCCCTCTGAAAGCCCACTTAAGCTCCTACTCCACTTTGATGAGGAACTACTGATGAGCTCTCCAAATCCCACACATTTCAGTATCAAGCCCTCCTGATCAAGTCTGTCATATCTCAGCTGAATCATCTTGTGCCAGCAGTGCATTATCCAAGTACGACAGACCATGATCTCAGAAACTAAGCCTATCGGTAGCTTGCCCATAATTAGTCAACAATATTTGTGGCTCACGGTTGAATGGTGGGGCCCAGTTGTTTTTTTTATGTTTCAATCCTCAAACTACGTGACATCATCAGTGCCTGATGGCATTACCTATCCAGTTTGGATAATGAAAACATCTGCAAGAAAACAACCAAGCTCAGAGAGCATAAAGGATGCCCCACCGCCCATAATCAGTCATTTCCCTGTCCTTTTTTTCTCATTCAGGCCAGTCCTTTGCTATGAGAACATCACCAAGATTTCTTCTGAAAACATCTAAGCTCAAGTTATACTGTCTTATTTGTCCCTATGTAGACTTCGTGAATCTTAGTATCTTTACTGAAACTCATATGGTATCAGTCCATTTCCTTACTACCAAACCCTTGAAAGAAATACCAAATCCAACATCATGGCAAGAGCTAAAATAATTTATTTGTTAAACAGACTATTCAAGTGGACTGGAACAGCAAACGGGACAGTCAATGTCTCTTTTTAAGAATTGTTCTGACCATTTCCACACATAATTAACAGAGGAACAACTGTCAAAATGCACTCTCAGCAACAACCTAAATATAGGAAAGGGTTAATATTTTTCTACCCTCCAAGTGATCCGGTCCTATTATCACATTTCTCTTCAAAGCAACAGCTTAGGGCTTAAAACGATGGCTTCTTACTCTACCCTCTAAGAATTATGTACAAGAAAAGTCCAACTGCCTGGTCAACTTTCATTGTGCAAGCTCAAGGTCAGCAAAGGTCAGCACTGTTGAATTGAAATAATTAACCCTTCCCATCTGAAAATAAAAAGGGGTTTGGGTTTTTTTTTGGGAAAACTGATTACATCTCCTTAGTTATAAAAATCACACTATCCTCAAGCAGTGTGAAAGTGACTAAAAAAGAAAACCCTATTTTTTTAATAAATATACTTTATTGGATCTGGTGAAAAAAAACAACAATAGTTCTGGATTGTCATCAGAGTTGTGGGAAAACACAGAACGAAACCACTGAAAGTTTTAAAACGGGGCTACACTAATCCTGGATCTTTCCACATCAAACAAATTGCTATATTTCAACCTAAAGAAGGTGTGAAGCCCAAGAGCTGTTCAATGGGTTTGTATCTCCATTCATCTGCCTCCAGTTCTTCCACTAAGCCAGCGAGTTTTTCCATTCGAGCAACTTGCTGATCTGTATCAGAAAATTAAAAATGGTTTTCAATCAACTTTTGGTTAAGCCTTTTAGTGTACTATAATCTGCATATAATGTCTTAAAGCAGAAAAATCTTTTATCACAAGAAAATTAACTAGTTAGAATCCACACAATTTGTTTTCATTCTATGATTCACAAGACATTATCAATCCACAAGACAGGATAAAGATATTAAAAATAAACAAATTCTATTCAAAAGATCCTCACATTTATTTTTCAATTGCAGGAAAATAAATGTATTATTCCTACTGCTCCAGTTCTAAATCCTACAAAAGCTCTTTTAGATCCGACTTTATTCCAGCAATACTGCTGTTTCTCTTAGAAACTGTTAACCAGTGAAAATACTTCAGAATAATTCAGTGTTTCTCAACCTTGACAATTTTAAGGCATGTGGACTTCAACTCCCAGAATTCCACAGCCAGCATTGCTGGCTGTGGAATTCTGGGAGTTGAAGTCCACATGCCTTAAAATTGTCAAGGTTGAGAAACCTGCTTCAGATAATCGCTATATAAATAGATGTTGGAAAATATCCTTCAAGCTATGAATAAGGCCAAAATATTTGTTTTCTAGAACAACTGTACTGCATGCAAGCCAATTAAAAAAAATCAGCTATGATATATCTTAGCTTAAATATTAAACACTTTCACATACAGTGATATGTTATTTATTCTGTCATCTGTTACAGCTGATATATCACAAGGAAGCTAAAACAAAGTTGTTGTATTACACTGAGATTCTTCATGCCTTTATCTATCAGGTGGTTTTTATTTCGTCAAAATACTCAAAAATGTCACATACACTAATGGTCCAAGAAAAGCCATAAGCAAAACAATAAAAAACCAGTCAGTATTAGAGCAGTTGACAATGAATGGTAACAGAATAATTGAAGGGGTTGGGCAAAAGACATATTTTAAATGGTTGGTGGCATACAAATAGTCCTCAGGTTACGACCACAATTGAGCTCAACATTTATGTTGCTAAGTGAAATATTGGTTAAGTGAGTTTTGCCCCACTTTATGACCTTTCTTGCCACAGTTGTTAAATGAATCACTGCAGTTGTTAAGATAGTAACACGATAAGCTTTCCGATTGACTTTGTCAGAAGGTTGTAAAAGCTGATCGCATCACCCTGTAACTGTCATAAATATGAACCAATTGCCAAGCATCTGCATTTTGATCATGTGACCATGGGGTACTGCAATGGCTGTAAGTGTGAAAAATGGGCATAAGTCACTTCTTTCAGAGCCATTGTAACTTTGGTCATTAAATGAACTGTTGTAAGTCAAGGACTACCTGTATTCTATGCTAAGGCAGTGCCCAATCACAATGAGGTCATATTTCCTCTTTGAAGTAGACAAACCTAAAGAATAAGAAAGCTATTCCACAGTGACTGGACAATCATAACTACGGGGAAAGTTGGATTTTGTTTTTGTTTTAACATGGATGTGTTAACATCAAGTTTGTTCTGCCAAAGCTTCTTCAACAGATGTTCATTGACATCCTACATTTAGCCATAGGTAATTCTGTTTCCCAAGGAGGTTAAGAAATTCTTATGTCTTTAAAAGGGATTCCCTATTAAATTAAATCTTCAATAGTCTTAATACTTGGATTGAATATTTATCAATGTAGTAAATGTTTATAAATATGTATAAATCTGTATGAGTGTTGATAACATTTAATTATTTTGAGATTGGAAAAAATTATGAAGTTGCAATGTTGTACTAAAATAAACTTAACATGGGACAAAAACAGAACCCCCCCTAAGACTTCCCTGAAAAAAGCTCCAAAAATCTTGGCCTCACATGTATTATATAACAGCATTAATAGTTAAGTGCCATTGATTCAGACTAAGACCCAACAATCAAAATGCTGACAAGCTAGAGATGTTTTTAATAAGAACTTGTAGAGTGTCTTCCAAAGATATTCCAATAACTGTATCTGGAATTATCCATTCATGCACTTTATCTATTCTCATCTTCTCCTTTTCTCAATCTTGAATACTATTTTTCCTCATTCATCATCTCACCCCACATGCCTAAGCATGGGAGTTTCTGTTTGCTGAACATCACCTCAACACAACAACCGGCGTTTATTTGGTTCAGAACTGAATGAGTGGTTAGTATTTATAGTCATCAAAAAGACAGTGTCTAGGTTTCAATTTCACACAGATCCACTTGAAAGACCTTTGTTTTAATGATTCTAATCTTTGCTGCCGTTGAAATATTCTTATAAACTTGCCTAAATTTTTCACTGCCATCTTACCTAGAAGAAATCTCCTCTTTGTCTAGAACATAACAACTGAACAGTTGACAGTGAAAAGTGAAGGTAATAGTAGATAGCTGACATAACCCTTGTCATCTTCGTTTTTAACATTAGCCCATATTTTCCATTTTCCTTTTTTTAGTTTCATTATGAGGTTTTCACTTTTCGCAAAGTAGGCTTTTCCAGCTTCACAATGTTTTGACCTATTTTGATTCCAGCTATCATCTTCTTCAAACTGACCTTCACTCAAATTGGAACACTTTCCTTGTTATGAGAGGTGACCTAAAGACTATTTACCCCCCGCTACTGAAGATCCTGGGGGGGTGTCACATCAGACAGTTTCTTCCTGGTGAGATTTAACTTCTTACCTTTTATGCTAACAGAGAAGAGATAAAGAAACACTAACAATGCAATGTTTTATTGTGCTGGTTGTTTTTTGCACAGCTGAACAAACAGATTTTATACACAATCGTTAGCCCTAACATGTTCTACATTATAGCATAATCTAGAGCAGTGTTTCTCAACCTTGACAATTTTAAGGCATGTGGACTTCAACTCCCAGAATTCCACAGCCAGCAATGCTGGCTGTGGAATTCTGGGAGTTGAAGTCCACATGCCTTAAAATTGTCAAGGTTGAGAAACACTGATCTAGAGCAGGGAAATCCAACCGTGGCAACTTTAAGACCTGTGGACTTAAAGTTGGGGAATTCTGATGGCTGGGGAATTCTGAGAGTTGAAGTCCACAAGTCTTAAAGTTGCCAAGATTGGACACCCCTGCTCTGAACCTTAAAATTGTCCATTTCTCTGTAGACCCAGAAGGAATATATCTACAAAATTGAAAATTCGCAAGAGACTCTGGTAGAACAGCCATCTAATCAAGCATAAAACTTACTTTATGGAAAAACAATATTTTAAGAACTCTTGGCCAATCTCTTTGGCCACAGAGTATGATTGAAAATAGCAAGTGATGAAGTTTCCTACAAAAAGAGTTACTCTAATCAGATACTTTCTTCCAGAGTTCTGTTCCATTTTGATAGCATTTCAGAAGCAAGTAAACTGATGCCAATATATCACATGAACCAAGTATAAGGAGGAAGAGATGGTGAAGCGAGATGAGATATAAACCAGATGACCCAGAAAGAAAGATAGCAATCTTTATTAACAGCAAAGATATGGCTCACAAAGCTTTCTACTATGAGTACAATGTTCATAGCTTGTTTTCTGAGTACAACAGCATCAAGTAATAGGAGTTACAATCTTATCTCCTGGTTAAATACACCATATAGATAAAACTTTGTTTTTGCTTTTTTATTACACAGGATAATATTGTGACAATAGGTTCATTATACATCTGCTATATTTTTATTATGTTCTGTTCTATCCTGCTGTTTTCAATACAGTAAGGTATTTGTATTACCTTACTGAATTTCTATACAGGTAGGTCTGAAACAACATACAAATCCACTGCTACAACACAGTTCGTGAGTTATTTACTTACCGTGTTTTACCTGTTTTAGTGTGGATGCAACTTGATAGCTGAAGACAGATTCACAAAGGAATCGTTCTGACCCATCTGTAAATAGAGCAAAAGAAAGTCTAAAATATTTATGATCCTGAAAAGCCTTCTAAGAGTATCACAAAAAGCAACAGTCTTATTTTTGTACCAAGGATGTATAAATTAACAAGTGTCTACATTCATATAATAATGACAAAAACCTAAACCAGACTAATAGTTTAGCCTCTGATCCAACAGTGACTAGCCAGTTGTTTCCAGGAAACTCAGTATATGCGCAACAACAACATTATTTTCTACTGTCATCTTCAAGCAACGGATTCTCATATATTTGGATGACAGTTGTTGGGAATTGTATGCTGAATCCTTGGTCTGATCCAGCCATTTTCTCACTGGCATGCACCTTCCCTTCCCTCCCCCCTCCCCTAGCTGCATTAATTTCCTATAAGCTTCCAGATAAAATTCAAGATGCTGGTTAGCACCCATAAAGCCCTATAAGGCACACAATTTATTTGTGAGGCCACCTCTCTCTAAAGGTATTGGCCTGTCTGTCATGCTCTAAGAGATAGGCATGCTTTGAATCCCTTATTTAAAATAATGCCATTTGATGGGATGTATGCCTTTTCTACTGCAGGTCCTCCTGTCTGGAACCATCTCCTTCCTAATATTTGTTTGGTGTTGACCCTGTTGGTCTTTAGAAAGACATTTCAAACCTGGCTTTTCCTTGAGTGCCAGGGCCAGACACAAAATTACTGGATTTCCATTGGGAGAGAGGTACTACTGATGACTTCCTCACTATCTACTAAAGCAGTGGTTCTCAACCTTTTTAATGCCGCGACCCCCAACCGGTCGTAAGTCGAGGACTAAACCGGTCGTAAGTCGAGGACTACCCAACCGATCGTAAGTCGAGGACTTTCCCTGCCTGGGAGCGCCGCGCATGCGTGGTTCCGCCCCCTGTGCTGGCCGAGGCGTAGCTTGCAAGCGGCAGAGACGGAGCAGGCCGACCACCAGCTGGCCCAGCCCGAGGGAGGTAAGGCACCTGCCGGAAAAAGGGGGAAAAAAATGGACAAAAAAAATGGCGGACAGCCTTGCTTGGCGACCCCCGTGAAATGGTTGATCAACCCCAAATGGGGTCGCGACCCATAGGTTGAGAACCACTGTACTAAAGGTTTGTATGGGATTTTTGTATGGAACTGTTTATTATGTTTTCCTTATTTTTTTGATTTCATGCAAGCCACCCCCATTATTGCAGTGTTTGAATTGGACAACCATATGAGTGCATAAATGATTGGCAATTCAAATGGTATAAAAACATCCCAGATTTAATTTCTAGCATCTCCTCAAAATGCTAGGATAGACTTCATCTGAAACCTCAGACAGCCATTACTAGCCAGTCTAGGGGACAGATGGATGTTAAGCTCTAACTACCATAATATGAGACAGTTCTTTATAGCCATATTATGCTGAAATATTGGAACAAAGCATTTCATGGTTCTTGCGTATTGTTCACAAGATCAATGCCACTTCACTTCTCTTTAAATAAACTCGAAACGAAATGCATCCTTGGAAAAAAAATCATATCATGGATACCAATACTTAAATTACATTTTAATAGACCTTCAAGACTGCTGCAAGACTAGCACATTATCTGTGGTCAAGGATAGGAGAAACTCAAGGCTCTGAAAACAATACATTCTCCAAGAAACCTTTACTTCTAGGGATGTTATGGGTTGCTCACCCATAAATGGCAAATAATAGCCTGCTAAGCTGATAACAATAGAGACCTGACAGTACATGTTGAGGTATTTCATATAAGGAATGAATTGAATTTAGTTATTTTAATTCACAAACATGACATCTAAGTTAATTGATTTAAGTCAGAAAATTATCTTGTTCTCTCAACTGACCAGTTACAATTCTCATAAATACAGGATCCCTGCTACTTGGCATTATCGACTTTCAAACATGCCATTATACAATCTCTGAGGTAACCATCTTTATGAACTTGGTATCGTCCAGATGTTCTAAATTGTAATTCCTATCATCCCATTCACGACAGCTGCTTCTGGAGGCACCAATTGCAGAACTGATTGTCTAAGTCTAAGACATGGCTGCCCAACCTGTTGATACCTAGAAATCACTTTTACAGTGAGGGAAAAAATTATTTGATCCTCTTCTGATCAGTCTATAATTTTAATGGTAGGTTTATTTTAACAGTGAGAGACAGATTAACAGCAAAAAAATTCAGAAAAATGCATTTCAAAAAAGTTATAAGTTGATTTGCATTTTAATGAGTGAAATAAGTATTTGACCCCTTCTCAAAACATGAATATTTGGTGGCAAAACCCTTGTTGGCAATCACAGAGGTCAGACGTTTCTTGTTGTTGGCCACCTGGTTTGCACACATCTCAGAGGGGATTTTGTCCCACTCCTCTTTGCAGATCCTCTCCAAGTCACTAAGGTTTCAAGGCTGACATTTGACAGCAAAAATCTTCAGCTCCCTCCACAAATTTTCTATGGGATTAAAGTCTGGAGACTGGCTAGGCTACTCCAGGATCTTAATGTGCTTCTTCTTGAGCCTTTGTTGCCTTGGCCGTGTGTTTTGGGTCATTGTCATGTTGGAATACCCATCCACGACCATTTTCAATGCTCTGGCTGAGGGAAGGAGGTTTTCACCCAAGATTTGACGGTACATGGACGTCCCTTTGATGCATGTTCATTGGCAAACTTCAGATGGGTCTGTACATTTGCTTTCTTAAGCAGGGGCACTTTACAGGTGCTGCAGGATTTCAGTCCTTCATGGCGCAATGTGTGACCAATTGTTTTCTTAGTGACTATGGTCTCAGCTGCCTTGAGATGATTGACAAGATATTCCCATGTAGTTCTAGGCTGATTCCTCACAGTTCTAATGATCATTGAAACTCCATGAGGTGAGATCTTGCATGGAGCCCCAGACCGAGGGAAATTGATAATTATTTTTTGTTTCTTCCATTTGCGAATAATCGCACCAACAGTTGTAAACGTCTCACCAAGCTGCTTGGCGATAGTCTTGTAGCCCATTCCAGCCTTCTGTAGGTCTACAATTTTGTCCCTGACATCCTTGAACAGATCTTTGGTCTTGGCCATGGTGGAGAGTTTGGGATCTGATTGACTGATTGCTTCTGTGGACAGGTGTCTTTTATAAAGGTAATAAACTGAGATTAGGAGCACTCCCTTTAAGAGAGTGCTCCTAATCTCAGCTTGTTACCTGTTTAAAAAACAACTGGGAGCCAGAAATCTTGCTGATTAATAGGGGATCAAATACTTATTTCACTCATTAAAATGCAAATCAATTTATAACTTTTGGGTTGTTATTCTGTATCTCACTGTTAAAATAAACCTATCATTAAAATTATAGACTGGTCATTTCTTTGTCAGTGGGCAAACATACAAAATCAGCAGGGAATCAAATATTTTTTTCCTTCACTATAACATGTATTCTTACTTTTTAGCTGATTCTTAGCAGTTGTAGATTTTTGTAGTTAAGATTCTTTCAGATGCTACAATTTTCACGTCTTACATATCTGAAAACGGTGGGAAATGGCATTGCCCATTTTCAGAGGACGTTCTTGGCAAAATAAACAGCTCTGGTCTACAGAAGACACAGAAATGACGAGCTACTCTCATTTCCAAACCCCTCATTTTGTTCAGCAAATCTAAAAAAAGATCGCTGGTAGTAACTTTCCCAATTCACATCTGCTTAACTCTAGATCAGTGTTTCTCAACCTTGACAATTTTAAGGCATGTGGACTTCAACTCCCAGAATTCCACAGCCAGCATTGCTGGCTGTGGAATTCTGGGAGTTGAAGTCCACATGCCTTAAAATTGTCAAGGTTGAGAAACACTGCTCTAGATCTTTCCTTGGAAAAATGGAATCACGAATCCCCCAAAACAAGTATAAAATTGAGATGGCAATTGCACAACAGGGAACAAAAGTTTCATGTGTCCCATCTTGGAGACACAATGGAAGGTAGGAATCGTCAGCAAAGCATTTAAAGGCATCGATGGTCCTGTGAAAAGCCTGTGTTGATGAATGCCAGGTTCCTTGCCCAACAAATTTGATTTTATTTAGATTAATTTAAAAAAAAAAATGAATCGCTGCAAACTACCAGTCTCAAACAGAATCTTTAGTCTGCTTTATAGCAGAGTAGCTGAAGCTGAAAAAGCAGCTGTATATAAGCGTAATCCGTTGGCAAGTGTGTTTATGCATGTATATACTGCCCTCTATAGTAAAGCACAATTTAACTGCTTTCCTGGAACCAACTCAGCACTCAGTTCTTCAGGACTCACTGACATAATATAGCTGGCTTATTCCTACTCCGTTCTTAGGAGACAGGAGAAACAATTAAGCAAGCAAATTTGCCTGTGGGGCGCTAACTTACGCCAGTCTTATACATCCATAATCTGCTGACACTTAGCTGAATGTCTTGCAACTTATTATTATTTAGTCTGCTGCAGGAGCTTTTGATATTTAGGGCTTAACACACTGCCAATATAACATTAGTTGATGTTGGTCTAAACAGGGCAGTGTCCTGTTTTTCTTAGGAGGTGATTGTTTGCCCACGGCCCAGAAAGAGCCAGTATGAAAGCTAGCGTGGTAGAGCGGGTGCTGAATTATGACTGAAGAGACCTAGATTCAACTAATGCTCAGGCATGGAAATTTGCAGAGTGATTTGGGGCAAGTCACTCAAGAGTTCAACCAATCTCACAAAGGTGTTAATGCAGGAATTAAATGAAAGAGAATTCCAGTGAAAATACCTTAAGCTCCTGGACAAAACTCTAGCAAACGAACATTCACCAGTCCTCTGGCGGTAGGAAAGGTGAGGTGTGTCATCATCGTCATCATAGTTGGAAGGGACCATGGAGGTCTTCTAGTCCAATCCCCTGCTCAAGCAGGAGACTCTATTCCAACAGTCCCCAACCTTTGTGGCTTGGCAGCCCGGCAGAGGGTGGGAGAGGGGAACCAGCCTCATGAGTAGCGGGCTGGTGCGCATGCAGTCAGGTCAATTTGTGTGAGTGGC